TGAAGCCCTGGCTTGACTCCCATTTTGTAGAGGACACTCTAGGCTACATACCCATGCAAGAAAACGATCGGGTTTCTATAAGACTTTCGGAAGCTCTGACCTGGTTTTTCAAAGATCTCCTGAAAAAGCAGGCTGTGAAATTTTTTTGAAACTTGTTTTTGCTTATAAAAATATGGCTTTAGGTGTCCTCTATACGATGGTGAAAATCGCAGGCCGCTAAGACCTTTCGTTAAAAAGTTATTTGAAAAACGGCAACCGGCACGACCTTTCCGTTTCGATAGTAGTTCTGATGTTTATTGAGTGAATAGTGAATTTTCTTATAGAAAGTGAAAACTGCCTGAAAACCCAAATTTCCGTAAAACTTGCTTTTCGGTAGACTTTTAGAACTTTTTCTAAAAACAAATACCTGCACAAGGCTCAGTATGATCGATTACCTATAGTCCATCCGTTTTCAAGGCTACCAATAGTCACCGGGTACCAGTCCTGGGACTCGCAGGAAATCCGAGACAACGTCCGAGCCGCGGAAAATCAAGGTCTCGTTTGACTCTCATTTTGAAGAGGATACCTTGGCCTTTCATAGCATGGAAGAAAATCAATTCTATTGAAAATACTTTACACACAGCCTGATTTTCCAAAGATCTCCTAGAAAATCTGTTTCAGGAATCACTTACGGAAAAGCTTATGCTTGTGAAAACATGTCAGCAAGTCTCTGTCAAATCTTATTCAAAGAACATCCGAATCCATTCTTCTAAGTCCATTTACTGACAATACTTAGAGATTGTATAGCTCTTGGCGGCTTGTCCCAACGTCACGGCGTTGCGTTTTTGGCGTACTAAACTTCGATTATCTCGGAAACTAAAGTAGCTAGAAAGTTCGTTCAAACGTCAATCGACGCAGTGCATCGTGCTCTACTTATGCTGTGAAAACGAAGTTTTTGGATGTTACATTGGGCTTTGAGAAGGATTTTAGTGTCGCGTCACGACGTTACGAAATTCTTCTTGTCACGACGTTCTTGGAAATTCTTTAATTTCCTGTGAAGTTAATTATGTGAGAAGGAAACTTCTAGAGCAAAATTTATAGAGTAATTGACGGGCTATCCGATGGTAAAAGAATTTCTTGTAGCGCTTTGCGCTAGGGAGAAAGATGCAAAATAAAAACGTCACGACGTTACGCACTTTTTGTCAAGCATATTTAAGGCACTTAACACGACGGTAAAGTTTTGATTTTCACAGCTTCCTGTGTTCTTTGTATATTTAATCGAACTGCGCAAAAATCAAGTTGCTGTATCAAAATAAGAGCTCAAAAACTGGACAGTAAGTCGGAAACTGTACAACTATGTACAAATTGTACATAGCAAGTAAACTCAAAAACAAATACGCCATTTTGTAGAGAAGCATATTTTTAGAAATTTGTTTTAAAAATGTTTTTTGGTTAAAACATTAAAAATCCGGTTTCTGAAAAATTCAAAACCAGGTTTTTGGATGAAAAATGAACTTTTTTGAAAAACGACTTTCAAACGGGTTCTTAGAATAAAAACCTGCATCTAATTATGTGTTCAAAACTTCCGATATCGAAAAAACATTTTTCAAAAATTTGATTAGTCACGTGTACCGTTACGTGGACAAGCCGTTGGAAAAATCAAATTTCTTAGCCAATATACGACCAAGTGTTGGGAATTTTTTTTCCATAAACCTTGAAAGTAGTACTAATTGTTTAATAATTGTAATTAAGTCATCAACGCCGCCAACCGCCTCCCATCTATTATCGGACTCATTGACCTTGTTTCGAAAACTTCTCGAAAATGTTTTGATCATTTAGAACACAGATACTGGGATTTATGGTTAGATAATTTTACATGTATTCAGATGAACGAAAAGTGTAATGTGATGCATGGCAATTTTCGTAATAAATATACAACATATACTGTTTAGCTATTTTTTCCCATGAAAGCAGCTTTATTATCTTCTGTTCAATAACATAAAACTATCATACATATTTTTCAACAGGTTGATTTTTTTAAACTTGATTTTATCTTAATTCTTTCAAGAGTGTAGAACGCCACAGATCCACACCTCTAGGGTATAAATAGGTAAAATAAAAAGGTGTTCATTTTATGTCAATATTGTTCAACAGGCCGATGAACGTCTGTTCAATTAGACACATGTTGTGGATAAATTAAGGTGTTCACAGCCTTTTTTGTATTATAATATTTCTGCTGGTCTATTCTCTGAAAAACATTAGATTGGTTGATTATAGTTTACTAATAGAACATTAATTGAAGAATATCATATATATCTGCTAGGACGTACTGTTCCATATTCTCTTATAAAAAATGTTTATGCTTGAAGCTGATGCCTGAATGTTTGTTGAAAGTGTTCTTTTGCTACTGATAATGCCACGCCCGGGCGTGGCAATAGCTCCTTGATGACATGCCCAGGGAGTGGCAATAGCCATTCCGTTAATTTATATGGTACTCCTGTCGGTACCTCAAACAGTAGTCTCGTTATACTTCAAAATGATACGTTGACACGGCCGGATATTGATGTGTTTGACATTCAGAAATATATTAATGACTCAGATGGCATAAAACTGCGGTTTATTAATTCAGGTATTGATGATATAATGCATTCCTCCGATGTTCAAATATTAAAATAAAGACATGGCATAAAGTATATTATTAGTTAGTTTAAGCTTTTTATTTAAAGAAATCAAAAAAAAGGAAACAAGTAAAGAAGACCAAACAAGTGAAATCGTTGTCCTAGGGACTACATTGTATCTCCTGAGAGGAATCCTTAAACAGAACAGCATCTTAAAATAAAAATGGACGAAAAGAAAAGAAAAACGTTGGACTTAGAGAAGGAAGAAAAGAACATAAAGTGAGAGTAATAAAAATAGGTGAAGGAAACTGTGTCAGTAGGAGAAAAGCACCGAATATTGGCGTTTTAGAAACAAAGGAGTGGATCAGCTAAATCTGTAAAAGTGAAAGTATATTATTCTACAACATTAATTGTGGCTGGCACTGTGGCCGTTATTGTTGTTCTTATTCTAGTCGCAACCACAGTTATTTCTTTATTCAAGTTTAAAGTATGCAGAAAGAAAACACCATCAAACGATATTGAAATCAACCTGCCCAATCAGCCCCAGCAATTAGCAGCAGCACCAAACCCATTATTAGACTATTTCTATCAACAGTTGTTAATGAAAACAACAATAGAAACAGACGAAATAGATAATAAAATTAGCCATGGTACATAAATGCTTAAAATGCATGACTCAATGATAAGAAAAAATGTTAGATAACACTTTATTGTTAGCCACCATTTCTAATTCTTTGATATAAAAGTAACGTATATATAAACCTTCAGATAAAATAAATATACACTGGACGCAATTGTGATAACCTATTAATCGAGCTCTCTCTGGCACACTTATTTCCAAAGATGGCACAGCTTTAATAAAAAACGTTAGGCGAAAATAGAAAAGTTTGAGTTTTCGTCTCGTTGAGAAAATCAGTATTTGTCATTTTAAAAGCGAAGGAAACAAGATTCTGGAAAACTGATTTTGCCATTCGATAGAGCTCGTCGAGTTCTATCTGGCACACTTACTTCCAAAGATGGCACAGCTTTAATAAAAAACGTTAGGTGAAAATATAAAAATCTGCTGCCAACTTCCCTTACGTTTTAAATTTATTTTTTTAAAAAGCTTTTAGAAAAATCTGTTTAAATTGATTTTTAAAAAGATTCATTTAAATTCATTCTGCGTAACTTTTTGTGTGAAAAATTGAATTAAATTTCTTTCTTTCTCAATGAATCTGGTTTTAGTTTTTGACAAAATCTATTTAAGTGCATCTTATCGTTGATTTGGAGAAAAACGAAATTCAGATTAACCTTTTACAAGAACCAAAATCAGATTCATTGAGAAAGAAATGAATTTAAATCGATTTTTCGCACGAAGCGTTACGCAGAATGAATTTAAATGAATCTTTTTAAAAATTAATTTAAATAGATTTTTTTAAGAAAAAAACCGATCTAAATTAATTTTTTGAGTAAAAAAGATAATAAATTAATTTTTAACGTTTAACATTTTTAATGTCAAAAAAGTCGATTTAAATTGATTTTCTATGAAAAAAAATAATAAATCAAAAAAAATGGCACATTTCTTTAAAAAGTGCCGCAATCGATAGTCTCCTTCACTATATATATATATTATTTCATACGTTTATTAACGACAATGTATGTTAGAACACAAAAAAAGCGGAACAAATGAAAACGGTTGAAAAGAGCATTATTAAATCACATGAAAAGAGAGGTTGGAGTCTGTTCGATCTGACTAACTGTCGAAGAAAGATAAAATAATAGTATACTAAATCAATTACTGTTGTTAAAAATAAGTAACAAAACGCTGGTTAACTATTACTATTGTAGAACGATTGTCTGATCTAACACAATTTTGTGTGAAGATGTCAGAGATGGTGATCGAATTTTCGAAGAGAGAGGAAATGAGTGAGGAGGAACAGCGGTGCTCGGTAATGAAGAAAGTATCAGCGGCGAAGAAATTGGGTAAAAAAGTGGAGCAGTTGTTTGGAATGCGACAGATGACGACTGGTTTGTGGCGCTGAACAATGCTTGTTTCTATACAAAACAGAGAAATAAATATTGTTAATCAAGACATAGTTAAGTCAAAAAGGACTCAGTAAAATAAAATCCTTTTTCTCAAAGTCTGTTTCCCAGGCGAGCCAAAGTAAAAAACAAAAGAAAATTCCACTAAACAAGTAAAAAATCGAATAACTGTGGACCCATCTTCCAGGTAGACCATGCTAACATAATCTTTTATTTTGTACCAGTTTTTACTGAAAACATCGACTTGGCTAATAAGAAAGTCTCTCGATACTCTTCTATTTTATCTTTATCCAGGACAGCTTGGTTAAACAGACAGAACGTTATACTCAAATCGCTTTTATGTCAAAACCACAATAATAAAAGTCACAGAAGTATGTATTTACCTTTGGTGACGGTGGAGAAAGTTGGCAGCCACAGTTTGTGGAAATTCTCGAAGATATGGTACGCTAAGCAAAATACGACGTACAAATAAAACTTCTCATAAAACAATCATTAAAATGCATACTTTCGTTTTCTTTTTTATCACCGGCTTTCTTGGTTTGGTTGTTGGTTCCTTCATCATCAATATATACAAAAGTTAAAATAATTCAGAAACACATAACGAATTGAACTTACATTTTCTTTGTCCAAAACTGTAGGCTGTTTGCCTCCGGTTCGGCCAACACCAAGTTCGGCTTTGTATCCTCGTCGTACCGATGTAATAGATGGTGTAGACGTTGGCTCATGTAATGGTAAATCCATAAAACGTTTCACCGCCACAATGTGAACACAATCTTGATGGTCAACGGTCCTTTGAAAATAGCCACATGAACATTTATATAGACCTTTGTCTAATGGCGTAACCATCGACTTCACTTTATTTTTTTGAACGACGACAAAAACACCTGTAGAACAATAACTGCCTAAAGACCGGATGAGAGTATAAAACAGACATTACCGCTTCTTGTCGCTTCAACGTCCTTCACATCAATAGAACTTCGGACAACTGAATTTCTGTTAACGGTGGATCTCTTCTACGAGGATGAAGAGTGTTGTTATCTGTTAAATTCAAATTTTGAACGCGATCAACCACCATCTCTAGGGAATAACTTTCCAACAATTCCAATGACGACTCATTCATTCGGAAACGCTTGAATTCGGGCTTCAATTTGTAACCACCTGCAAAAAACGATCTGTTTTGGGATTTTTATTAATCTAAAAATCTCCCACTTACCAATCAAACAATATCCACGTGATAATTCATTTGTATAAAAATCTTGCAAAAAATTGATTAACAAAACCAAACGATCAACTGAAATTGTCTTCCAGGCCGTCAGCTGCTTGCATACTAGGTTTAAACCTTCTACTGCATTTGACGTAATCGAGACGGCTTTAAACAAATATTCGCACTCAAGCTCCAAAATGTTCCACTATCCTACAGAAACGGACCACAAATCCATTAAACTTGTCTAAAATAGTCTTGCTCAGCAACAGCATACACACAATGGGACCCAGCAAGTCCACCTGGTAACGGGAACACTAATTAGATAAATTAATCCCCAGTATAAAATGTCTGCTTTACTAACTCGACTTGGTAAAACAGATATTTTATTCAAACGATTTTCGTTTACTAAGTCACTTTACCAAGTCGACTTGGTAAAAACGATATTTTATTCAAAGGAATTTCGTTTACTATGTCATTTTACTAAGTCGGGCTGGTAAAGGAAAAGTTTGATTTAGATGAGCAAATGATCAAATCGGTTTTCCATTTGCCACGTCGAGTTGATAGAGGATCGACTTGGGAGAAACCGGCTTTTTAATTATACTCATACTGCTTACCTAACTGATCAATCTGTTTGTATATGTAAGTTTCGAAATATTTTTGAAAACTATCACTCCAGTGCTGTTTTATTGTCGCCAAATCTTTCTCAAAATTTGTTTTCGATGGCGACGTCAGAAGATATTTCAAATCGGCCACGTATCTGGCTTTTTGTTGCTTTCTAGTTTCCGGCAGGTGAACGATGTTTGTGTAAACCGTTACTGGTGGACGATAATCATACTGGGAATTATGGTCGTGTTTAATTTGACTAAGGTGGGCAATGTTTGTAATATTTACGATTGTATCTAGAATGGAAAAGGATCAGAAGCTGCCGGACGCTTTTCATATCATACCTTCTTCTTCGTTTTGTACTACCAATTCTGTTTCTACTGTTATTTCATGCTGTACAACTAATTCGTTTCGTATCATTAGTTCATTTTTAGCCTTGTTTCGATTTTGTTTAAAATCACTGTAATCGTCGTCACTTGATTGGCTGCTTTGTATATCCTCCTGATTATCATCTGCAAGAGTAATAATATGTTTAACAGTGTAATTCATTCAGTTGCTGCCTTTACCTGAATCAGTGTGTGATTGTTCATCATTTTGTCCTTGTTCACTGTTCGATGGCTTTTTCTTGTTTCTCAAACTGCGGCGGACATTCTTCTTCAGGTGATCCCAGCATCGCATTTGTATCAATCATGGGAATTGTTCAGCAAAAACATTTTGGAAAGACTTTTCATTATCAGTAACAAGTAAACATTTTTGTTCAAATTGTGGACAGAGAGTTTTAATTGTTTGTACAAATCGTCGGTGACATGTCGTAGATTTACTCTCATGTATCATATAAGCCAAAATAATGGATGATTCATCACGAAATGCTAGGTGCCGGTAAATCAACGTACTGAACGGATAAAGCATATTTTATAGATAAGATATAAACATGGGTAGTTCTTCGCTTACCTCACATAACTGTCTGTTAGCTTAAATGTTGTATCATAGGAGACAAGTATTCTTTTCGTTATTTCATCCAATAATTCATTGAATATTTTTATCATACGATCATGAGCACAAATAATTATTAAAAATAGTACTAATGAATAATCTTTGACAAACGTTCTATCGTTCAGTGCCATTCGATATGTTGAATACAACTCATCGGTTGCTAGTCTTGTCCGATTTAAATGTTTCTTTCGTCGATATTTGGTTTGATCAGGATTTAGTGCACTTTTACCCCCTTCGGCCGTTGCTACTACTTGTTTGTGTGTCATGCCGGGGTCTATTGTTTCAACCAGTTTGTCGACCTGATTCAGGATGGATGGGTCAGTTTTGGCTTTTGTTCATTTCATACCATTTTCTATTTTACCTAAATATATACAACAGATAATAGATTACGATAAACAACCTAAATTTAAGTTGATTACCAGCATATTGAACTATCACTAGCAACGGGTTTTCGACCGAAACATATACTGTTTTGTGTAATCTTTGAACATTCGTTGGTTGTGGTTCATTGTTTCGATGTTTGCGGGGCACAAAATAATATCGTGTAAATTTTTGTTCATTATTTATATTTGCCGTCTCTTTTCCGACTGAGGCCCACATGAAGCCGTCATATCGCCAACTCTCTGTTAATGAACTATCCATTAATAAAAAAACGCCCGCACCATCGACACTTACCCTTTGATTCTTCTGATAGTTGTAAAACATATATTCCATTATCACCAGTTTTTGATGGTAACTTTTCTAACTTTCTGTGATTACTTAAAAGTAGCTTAAGAGCTTCTTTTGTGTTTAACGACATAGTCAATAATAAAGTTCAATAACACATTCTATCTTGAAAAAGCATGATCTAGCTAAAAGCCGTTCAGGCCTGGTCAGTGAGCTGTTATCAAATCATTCCAGGAAGCTTCAAAAACTTATTTAAACCAAAGGATTTAACAAGAAAAGGAACAGGTCTGAAAAAGAGGTCTTTTTATTTTAAGTAATAATAATAAATATTAATTTAAACAAGGAATATTAATATTATTGATTATTATTAATATTTAATAAATATTTATAATAAACAAGGAAATACAGTTAACAAAAACAACAGTTTAAAAACCACTGTCAATGTTCATGTGATTAACGATGTCGTTTTGATGTCAATGATTTGAAATTCTCCGTCAATGCGTAATGTAAATCGTCTTTTCTGACACCATAAAAGACAGAGGATCCAAATAAGTACAAAACACATTAGAGATAATACCATACCGCCGTTTTTTTGTTAGTATTGTACTTTTATCTTCATTTTCTTTGTCTTCTTGTATTGTTTCACAAGGATTTTTTCTTGGCTAAAGTGAAGAACTGATTAGGATACAGTTGCAAACAACCGTTCCACATACTTTCTGTGAATGTGAACTGCTTCGTTTTTCAATCCGAAATTGGCACCCACTGAAATCAAATAGACTCATTTGACCTTAGCCATGTTTTAACAAAAACAGCCATTGACTTTGATAACAACTTTTAGTAACAGCAAATCGTAACCGTTTTGCCGAATGATGATGATGAGTTTTGCCGAATTTTAGCACACTTTTGTATCTGATTCTGGACGGTCCAATTAAGGTGGTACCTGTAATATTTGTGTAAGTAAGAATGTGTTCAGCTTTTCATATTCTCCAGATACTCCTCTATCTTCTGAATAAAAGAAAACTTTTAAAACATAGACTTTTACCCGGATTGTGTAGCATTTAATTTAATGACCTCAAGATACCATCATGAAATTGAGATCGCTTTTAGGAAAGAATGAAGTGAATTGAAAAAACTTTATCTAAAAGTTATTGAGAATATGTTTGATTGTTTGACCGTACAAATTATGCATGTCCATGAATGTGATGAGTCTGGTGTTACACAAACTCTACAAACATATCTTATACATGATAAGCACAGTATTAGATGAGAAGACTGATCAATAGTATCAAATTCCCAACAATCTTTGATTACTAATCCTCAGTACTCCTCACTATCACTAAAATCTTACTCAATTGAAATATATAACCTACAGTTAGTATAACGTGCAGTTCTTTGTACTCTGCGAGTTTCATCAATCTGGACATGGTCACTGCAATGTCTGAGAGATCGGTGATAAAGATATATTTTACGTCCAAAACATGGCTTTTATCGCTGTTGTTGTAATTATCGATATGCTATAAGAAACGAAAACTCTGTAGAGTGCATAACTTTAATTGATTAAGAACTATTTTTTAAATGAAAGTTTTCATCAGGATCCAGAAAAGAGTATGAGAGGAGTTTAAAATACCTCAACTCAATGGAGACATTGTTACCACTGTAGTAAAAGCAGTCTGTGCAGGTGATGTGCTTGGCAAGGCTAAATTTAAAGAAAACGTACAAATTGTAAAAAATAATTTTCAGGGTTTAATTACTTGAAAAGGACGTCGTAGCGTTGATAACATGTATCGAGTGTTGAGTGAATAGAGTTGATGTATAGGTGTTTGTCAATGCTGAATTACAATGTTAGGCGAACATTCCGCATGACAAACATGAGAAAGAACTGTTATATTTGAGAGCTAAAATCCCATTTGTGAGTGTAAGTAATGATGACATTCTTGTTTTTATGGCTGTTGTGGTACTAAATTGAAATTGTCGAGTAATTATTGAAGTTGTTGAAGCTGCTAGCGGTATTCCAATATCTAAATATATCGCACACATAGTTCAGGTGTCAAAAAAATGTAAAAAAAGATTTAAGGAATTCAATGTTTTTGTGTTGGCTAGAAACAGATGCGTTGTAGAATTCTTTCTGTATTAAAGTAATAAGCATGATGATAAACATACTATTCAAACATGGATCTGTAAATTCACGAATTAATGAAATCGGTACTAAAACGAAATAGCTACTATTCAAACATAAATAGTAAAATAGGTTTTACAACGTACAAAATGATCTAACGATATCGTAGCTGTAACTTTCTAGACGCAAAGTAACTACTTGTTTGCCTAGACTAGTACCACATTGAATACGATATTCAGATACTATTTGAATTATAATCGTTCTATTTAAAATCATTTGTATTTGATCAATTTGAGGCCTTTTACAAAATAGAACACACGTTGATAGCCTTGCCGATGGTAATAAAGCACGCTTTTCTGGAATGGCACGTCGTCGACGTTTACCACAACGTAATTGACATATAGGACCATTTACTATTCGAATAGTTCCTTTTAGTTTCACTGAAGCACTTCTAAAAGACATTAATCCAGATGATTTTGAGAGAAAAAATTAAATTGTAATTAGTTTGTCGTACGTTGCTCGACGTTTATTTTTCTTTGTTATAAATGTAAGATTGAAAATAAATACACTTAAAGAGGGCTTCACTGGCATTTTCGCCACTCGAACGTTTCTTTTGCATGTCTGTGATGACTAGCTCAGGCAGTCAAGATATTCTGACTAGCTCAGTTTGTGGAGAATTTCAAGGACTATCGATTCGTGTGTTTTGTCAGTCTCCATGTGTGTGAGAAGTATGAGAGAGGTATCGTTTAGTGAGCATGTAGGACTTGTTTTGAGGCCGCCGATGGAAACGTTATTATGGAGAAATTAAGGGGTTTTAGTGAACAAATGTATCTGTTTTCATCTGTTCTTGAATAGTGCGGCGTTTTTCGTTGATGGGAACCCATTTCTACTCTGAAAAGAGAGTGGGCCGATTTCTGACCTTATACGTTCCCGTCCTTTGCCAATGACAGTATAACTGATTGTTAAGATCGACAGCTGAACGAGCTCATCGTCGGCAAATGTATCCAATGGAACCTGAATGCCGATATCGTTGTTTGAACAGCACATTGTATGTTAGTTTGTTTCAACTATATGACTGTAATACAGACTGTCCTAATGAAGACGATGACAATATGATGTGCCCATGGATCAATGATCATTACTACTGTTATGGAACGATGGATAAACGTGCACCTTATCTATGTCAAAACGACGCTATGACTGTACCAGTTTCTCCTCGATGCCATGGTCAGTATGGTTGCGACCATGGTGAAGATGAACGCTACTGTGATTTGATCGATGTGATCGACAAAGACGACTTGAGGTATTTTACCACGACACGTTTTAATGAACATGTAGCAGAAGGTGGCGGCAACATTATAGCAATTATAACATAACAATATGAATTTGATGAAAACTAAGTATGTATTCGCGGAAAGGCATTTAATTATGATGTTATTCGCCTAGATGGGGGTGAGAAGAGCAACACACACACTAAATTGAGGGTGAAGATGGAGACACACACAGAGGCCAACACTTTGATGAAGGTGAGGGTAAAAGACAGACATGGCACACCCCCTGATTGCCCGCGTCTACCATGAGGCGAGACATACACACGCACCACAGATGTGACACACATACACCTAATAACAGTTGTAGACCCTCGTAAACCCTACTAGATTTTAGTAGAGAGTAATAAACCATGGAATTATTCGGTGATTTTCCCAAAATTCACAAGAGATCGTTAGTAATTCATCTTCGAGCCGACCTCGATTTTGAATTTTCAAAAATCGTGCTTAAGTTCATATTCCTAGTTTTCTTATTCTTCCGCTCAAGCTGCACGATAAATTATCTTACCTCGAACGATATTACCTCGAAGAGTCGTTTATTGGAAAAGAAGAATAAATGAGCCTGGTTTTGTATTTTGTATAGTATGTTTTGAAACTTGGGCGAGGTTATGTAGTTAATAGTCATTATGTGATACAATTACAGATATCCAGTTTCACTGCTTATCGTGTTTGACCGGTTTTCTCGTCGGTATACGATAAACTGAAGCTCACTATTCATAGCAGTGTGGAACCCGTGACATGATCTGTCCGCGAACAGAACTCCGACTCTTCCACAAATTTTCATAGTGCATATTTGGATATTTTGGCAGTGCTCGCGGGAGGGGGAGGGCATTGTGAAAGTGAGCTCGGAAAGTAGTTACACTCAAAACGTATTTTCATGATGCGAAGCTACATATTTGTGATTGTATCAGATAGTGTCTAGTCACCACATAACTTCGGTTTAGTTTGACAACACGATGTATTAAATATAAAACCAGCCTCATTTATTCGTCTTTTCCAATAAACCAGTCTTCGTGGTAATGTCGCTGTATCGCCGATTATGTCCATTATGTCAAATATGTCCGTTATGTCGATTACGCCCATCGTAGTTATTATGGGTCTCTTCTATGAGTGCTTTTCCGATAGAAAAAGGCGTCTCCATTGATATAAAAAAGTTATTTGAACCGTTGTCACACTCCAATATATCGTGATAAATGTTATAGCTTTATTTATGCTGATACCTCTCTTGTCGAGATATCTCAATATATCGAGTCCGATAATTTTCTATTGCAATAGTATCCGCCGACTAAAACACGGTTTCAAGATATTTATATGGAAATATAAAAAGTGTACGAAAAATGAATTTATTTTGACAAAACATTATATCACAAGATTTATTAACAAAGATCATTTATACACAAACAACGCAAAAATAACTACATTTTGATTATATGAATCATTAGTATTCACTATGTCTTGTTAGATTTTGAAAGATAAAATTTGAAGAATAAAACAAATATGCATCTTAATCTTTTTTTTCGTGACAACAAACGTTGTGATATTATTCCATTAAAACTGAATTGTTTCATGCATTGTGTACTGTACCCAGTATCATATTAACGAAGTGAACTCTTGTTACAGGATATTTATATTGGACTTTATACACAATTTTTCCGTAAACTTTAAAATCTCTCTGAAATAAAAGCCCATTGAATTTTGGAGAAAAATATCACCTTGAAAGTACTTCAGAATGCCAGCATAGAGTTGGGAGCGCAGGCGACATTTCTCTTTTTTGATTATATGTTTTCCTCTAGAAGTATCCATACTGAAGAGTTGATACTTTTAGCAAATATTCTGCTAGTTTGTACTATTTAACTGATATGAGCAAGAAAACTTCGCTGAGCTAGTTACATCGTGCTGTTCAAACTATGGGATCGCTATATAACATTAAAGATATTTTTATATTATTTAATTTTATACTTTAGTTAAGTTTTATATTGATTTATGACCGATGTAAATTACGGGGTGCAATTCATGTCGCACTAACCAGCACATATCACGAAAAAAACAATTTGTAGAGGATATGTCAGTGATTCATGCATATCTTGATATAAGAAGATATGAGCTTTTAATGCGATAAACTGAGTCCTTTCCAACCAGTTGTCGAGGGGTTCTTCGAGTACTCTAAAATATGCTTTCGATAGGTCTTCGCCGAGGGCTCGGACCCTCGGGAGATGACACTTCGGACCCTCGTATTGAAACGGATAGTTTGATCTAGTCCATGCAAAAAGTCACTATATTATTTTTTTTGATGTAGACTGCTTTTTCAAAGTTTCTCTCAAACCTTGCTTTTGGAACGCGTTTTATAATAAAAACCTTTATTTTGTTTAGAACTCTTAAGACGTGGAATTAGAAGAAATACGAGGGTAGCACCGAGTCAAAAGTTTTACAATTCTTTGATAAGCGAGTGATGAACTGATGGATAAGTGCGGGATAACTAGCTGATCCTAGATCATCTAAAAATCAGATCGTCAACGATCATTGGAACATAATACCATCCCGCAGATTTTTTGATATTATTCTAATGACTGTACCTTTAGAGCTCCAGAATTCTACTACTGTAGACACAGGTGAGCAAATTCAAGTCTGGACTTGGGGATTTTTTATCAAGCCCGTTGTAGTCTAAGAAGTTAAAACCTTTTACATTCAACAACAGAATCAGCATAATCCGATACCCAATTTATCATTTTGTCATCAATGTATCGATAAAATTTATTTACCCGTCAGATATGATTATGACGCACTGCGCAGTACAGAAGCTGCTATCAAGAACTTCGACTAAAACTTGGACTAGAGTTGGACTTAAGCTCCAGCAGATTTGGAAATAGTCGAACTTGCCCACCTCTGACTGTATATAAAAAAAATAATAATTAAGTTACAATATTTTGCAAAAAATAATTTATCATTTTTCAAAACGATTTTTATTTGAATTAGAACAAGTTTACAATATGTTTTTACAATAGTTGAAATCAGTATTTCATACTCTTTTAATGTCTCTATTTCATAATTTTTGTCCATGCTTTTGTGTTAACCTATACTGCTGAGCTGCACCAAATTATAGACTTTTAATGCCAATTGTTTCATCTGTATCATGAGACATTAGACGATAAAATAGCTCACTTCTCCGAAGAAACAGATCAGAAATTTCGCACTAAAACAGTGTATGAATATTTTGAAGTATGAAATACTGATTTCAACTATCGTAAAAACATATTGTGAACTTGGTCTTATTTAAATCAAAGTTGTTTTTGAAAAGTGATGAATTATTTTTGCAGGCCCAGATGGCCTAAAACCATCACATTACCACTATAGTGTACGATGTGGCATAGAGTTTATATGGAAATTCTATGCTTCTATGCTCTTTTAACTAGGGGTGGCACATTTTCTTTACTGATGCGTTACTTTACTGAGTAAAGCAACGCTTTCAAATATCACCGTATGAGTGACGAACAACCGAAAATGTATTGTTTTATCACCTTCCGGACACAATGCGACTAAAGCGTTACTATATTATGCGTTACTGGTAACGAGTAACGCATGCGTTATTGCGTTACAAGTAACGTATAACGCAAGCGTTACTGCGTTACTAGAAAAGTAACGCAAATAACGCTGCGTTACTCGTTACAAAAGCTATGAAAAATAAACGCATCTCGTTAGTAGTTACTGGTAACGAGTAACGCATGTATTATTGCGTTACTCGTCACCAGTAACGCAATAACGCATGCGTTACTGCGTTACCTGTAAAGAAACGGTAAAGCGCCACCCCTACTTTTAACTATAAGCGACCTTATTTATGTATTCAGGTTCAGCAAAACATTTTACTGATGAATAATCTAATACAAAAAATTCTTGGTTAGACCATCTACGTAAATCTATTATTAGTGTCTTCCAACTAATCAAGACAGTTTCACTTAGAAAACCATGGATGATCTAACTTGAATTTTTTTCCAGCTATTAGCGATAATCGAAGAGTCGCAAAATTATTAACTGAATATCAAAAACATCGATCTAAGGTCAAAAACATAAAGTAGTTCTGTAAGCAAGTCCGATGTAGCAGATTCAACAGATGTCGTTCATAATTATCAAAAAATAGTTGAAATGCAAGAGGCTTTATTACAAATTCTTCAATATATAACGTCGCTTTTCTCATATCAGAAGAGTTTCACAACGAAATGTTGATTTGTTTCTTTGTTTGATCACAGTCGTTGTACATTTCGGTTGCTCCGAGAAACGAATTGGTCGAGGGTATCGGTTTTAAATATGGTGACCGTTCTAATGAAAATAGGTTACCTTCAGCAGTATTGTTTTTTAACTTGCTTCTACCCATGCTGCTTTCTCTTTTTGATGTTTTTTACTTTAATAATTTATCATCACAGAGAAGTAATAGGATATTTTGGCAATGATACATTTCAACGTATACATGATTATTTCTATCGTCAGCGACTTGCACAAAAACTGATCCCAGATCTATAGATGATATGAAAATTATAAATGATTTACGTCAAATTATTAACGATGATACAGATAAATGGCAAATTGTTGATCAACTTGTGTTTTATGAAATAAATAACTGAGAATCAGTGTTAAATAAGTAATCTCTTTGGGACTTTAAATGATAGAACTGCTTCTGTTTTGGCTCTCTTTTATATAGCATTTCCTACTCGATTCCAGTTTCTTTTTTTCTAAAATGTTATTTGAATGTTAGACGAACAAAAACGTTCCGTTCTATATTCTGCATTTTTAACTTCTATGCTTTTTAAAAAATTCCCTCATTAGCAGTTTTCGAACGAAATTTCGAACACACTGGAATACTCAGGTAAATCAGCCTTTAATAGACGCAATGTGTAAAAGTCATTTTTTTTAGGGACACTTAGGGAGCATTTCAAAATTCTTGCCGTTCTCTCTGCCGCTCTGCCGTTCTGCCGCTCTGCCGCGGCATAACGGATTATTTTTAATGACATTTCGATATATTATCGGTTTCTTTTGATATATGTAT